ACTCTGTAACCCAGGCTGGCTTTGAACTCTCGATGGTCCTTTTGCCTCAGCCTCCTCAGTGCTGGGATCGATTACAGGTATTCCCTGACACTTGCAGCTCTTATTTGCCCTTAGTTCTGTTACCTCAAGGGTGCTTCCTAGATTTAGCTATTAAGAATTGTGCTTCATAGATACGCACGGATTGCTGTATTACGATGTTTTTAACTCTTTCAGAATGATACCTAGAAGGAGAACAGAGTCAAATGAATTTTCAGTGTTAGTTATTTGAGTAATTCCCATATTAATTTCCATAGTGGTTGCACATACTTAGAGTTCCAACATCAAAGTAAAAAGCTACTTTTTCCTTGCAGGTTCTTCCGATATTGTCATTATTTTATTCTTGATGATAGCCATTTTTTCTGGAGTAAATGGGAATCTCAGTGTTGTTTTAGTTGGTATTTTTCTAATGGTCCATGATATTAAACATTCTTCATATATTTATTGACCATTTTTACATTTTCCTTTGAGAGGCATTTATTCATTTTAGTTGCCCATTTTCTGATTGGGTCTTTTGAGGTCTTTATATATTCTAGATATTAGTCCTCTGTTTGAGGAACAGCTGGCAAAAATTTTTTCCTCATTCTATGGGTTGTCTCTTCATCACTCTGGTAGTTGTTTTGGTGTGCAGAAGCTTTTAAATTTGATATGATTTCATTGTTGATGCTTGTATTATTTCCTGTGCAGTTGGGGTTCTGTTCAGAAAGTTCTCACCTATGCTTATGTCTTTAGGAGTTTTACTACTTTTTCTTTTTGCAGATTAAGTATTTTAATACTAACATTTAAATTTTTGATCTATTTTGGTTTTAGTTTAATACATGGTAAGATACATGGGTCTGGATTCAGTCTTCTATATATGGGTTGCTAATTTTCCAAACACCATTTAACAGAGGCTATCTTTCCTCTAGCGTATGTTTTTGGTTCTTTTGTTAAAAATCAAATAGTCAAATGTGCCTGAGGTTGTTTCTACTTTCTCTCTTCAATTCCATTCATCCACATGTCTGTTTTTGTGTCAATGCTGTTTTTATCACTGTAACTTTGTAATATTTAAGTAGTAAAGACACTTTTAAATTCACCATTATATTTCTACAAGTAAAAAATATTTCAGACATTTTTGTTAATCATTTTTGCTCACTTATGTTCAAAAGATATTACCATTGTTTCATTAGCAAAGTTTCTTGAGATTATTAAGGCAGTGAGTTTTTCAGCTGATGCTTGGTTCTGCAGTATACCTTCTGCAGTATACCTTCCTTAAAATAATCTTACGCATAAAAACTAGGCATCCCTTTGACATTTCTGTTCATGGGTACTATGGGGCATTGGAGGACAGAGATTATTCTTGCTTAGTGCTATCTAATCTTTACATATACATATGTATATGAATTTATATTCACGTTTATATGTACATAGAGTGCATATACATTTATACATATGTACATATATGTGTATATATATTATACATATATGCGTATATACATTTTTACATATATATGTATGTATTTTAGATTGGGTCTTACTGTGCTGTCCGGGCTGACCTTGAACTTGCCATTTCCGATTCAGCCTGAGTAGTGGGATTACATGCATGTGCACCATGCCCCATTGCATAGATTTTTTTGAATAAAACAAATTGTACTTGTCAGATGAGTCACAAAAGTTATCAACTAGAACTAGTTATCAATTAGAAACTGGAATAGGTGATGCTTGCATCTCAGTGAGGAAAATTCTAATCTCTGGCATCAGCTAGCTATATGCCCAAGCCAATTCTTCATTATTTTGGCTTTAGTTTCCTTATACATAAACATTTGATTCTACAGTGTCAGTAAATCAGGTACTAGATAATCAAGCAAAATAAGAATATTTTACATTCTATTTTTCCAAAAATATATAGTCTCTTACCTGTGATTTTATAAATGTATAAATTTAAAAGGCACTGTATATTTGATCCATGTTTGAAAATTCTGCAGAATTAAGTAAATTTCTTAATTTATGCAAATTAAAAAATTTTTGCATATTTTTTGTAATTTAGTACAGTCACATTGATATTCTAAATTATTTTATTTATTTTCTATTAAGGACCAAAATATGGGAAAGGTCTGATTGAGAAAGAAAGTATTTCTGAATTTATCTTACTTTATATTTTTAAAGTCTTCATTATGAATTAGGAATCTTTTTGCTAGCAATACAAAAAATAATATTTTAAATGGTATCTTTAAAACACTGATTTAACAAAAATTTATTTTGCTGTAATTTTCTATAATTTTATGCACTGTAATTTTATGTTGTTAAAATAAAGATTACATATCAAAATCAAGTTTTATATGTATTTGATTTCTATATTTTGGTAGCAGAGTATTTTTAAGAATAAAGATCAGTCTCCTTTTAATTACCAGTGAACACTGGAAAAAGGAGAAACACAGTATATTATTAGATATCATTGAAAATTGTGATTCCTGCCAGGAATTCCCCCTTTCAACCATAAAATGAACATAAAACTGGCCTAATATTGTTAGATAACATTGAGTATTTAGAAAATAATCCCCAGGGAAGCAAACTTGTGGAGTGGAAGTTTTTCCTCCCATCTCTTTTTTTCTTTCTTTGTAGTCCTTCTGAAAAGTTGCTACAAAGTTATATTAGATATGGTCTAAATATAGCTATATAAATAGCACCTAATTAATTCATTTCAAAATATGACTCCACATGATTCTAATACATTTTTGAGTCCTGAAGTATAGGTTTTAATTAAACAAATAGTATGTTTTCTACTAGGCATTTAAACTACTTGTTCTTAAGTGAAAAAAAAAAAAGTAGATAGGGGGCTGGGGACTTAGCTCAGCGGCAGAAGCTCCTGCCTTGCAAGCAGGCAGTCATGAGTTCGATCCCTAGTACTGATTAAAAAAAAAAAAAAAGTGTATAGAACATTAACAAAAAGAATAAAAGATGAATGAAAACTCAGGCTACAAATCATGGTTAACTAAATGTTGGCAGCAGTGAGGGCAGACTGACTAAAAAGGCTATACAGAATTCGGTTAGCAAGGTTCTGGTTTTAAGACATAGGTGTTAGAAACCTCAAGAAGTATTTTCTTAAATGGTAACTAAAGTTGAGGTTGTTGATAAGGGATACTATAAATATTCTTACCGAAGCCCCTTGGTACTATAATGTATGAGATTATATTGTGCATGATTATCTGTTTATATAGCCCTTAATTTTAGTGGTTTTTTTTTTTTTTGTTTATTTGTATGTTCGTTTTGATTTTTGAGACAGAGTCTTGATAGGTAGTTCACTCTGGCTTTAGAATCAGGCTTGCCTTGGCCAGCCTGAAACACTTGGTAGTCCTGCTGCCTTAGCCTTTCAAGTGCTTGGGTTATAGGCATGTGCCACTCTGCCCAACCAGCCACTAGTCTTTGTATTAATTCATCATCATAGTATCTTTTACTTAGTATTTCATGAAGAATCTTACTATATACTTTTGCTTTATGGGATGCAAATCTAACACATTTGTTGAAACTGCCACATGAACATATGTGTATTTTTTCCATTTGGAAATCCTAACCCTAGTTATCCTTAGGACAATAACACTTGAAGATTTTTAGATGATCTACAACACACTTCACATTTATTTCATAATTGTATATTTGTTTTACATGAGAAAATAATCATTTGGTATTACCTTCATAAATTGTATTGTTTTACTTTTACATAATATCTCCTTAAGTGATGTACTTTTATTAATTTATTTGGAAAATTTTAAATCCTTAGGTGAAAAATTTAATTGTGGAAAGCATGATTTTTTATTTTTAAGTATTTAAAAACAGTTGTTTACCTGAAGAGAAAATACAAGAAGAGCCAGCTCATGCTAAAAATACCATTATGTATTTATTGTATTTTGAAATTAGCAGATAGGAAATTACGCATTCTTAGATTGCATTTTTTTAAAAAACACATATAATAGTGGAAATAATTTAATAGAGCTATAATTTTCCACTAGCTGGATACATAAAGTGATATCCTCGTTCAACAAAATTCTTTTATTGGGAGTGAAATTCAAACCCTGTCAGGTTGTCAGTACTTGCTATTCATATTAATTTCATTGTGAGTTTTTAAAGTTTTTTTCAGAAATAATATTAATTCATTTTATATTTTTCTTTTAAAACCATTAGAGAGTTTCAAAAGTTTTTTTGACAAGTTTATAAGTGTATGACCAAAATATTTACTACTGCTAATTAAAACTAAGAATTTCATTTTATTATATTAAGTTAGAAATAGGGAAGGATGTAATGAAAACTTAAACAAATACTTGTGACTATTTTTTAACAATGTTGATTTATGTATAAGAATTACTATGATATGTAGTAGAAAAAAATTTTTTAAATTTGAAAATATCAGTTGTGTTTTACAGTTGCTGTTATATCTGCATGCTGATTTATCTGTAATATTAAAAAGATTTGTAGAGTCTAAATACGATATTTGAAAACTGGTATAAAACTGATACTATTTTTATAAATTCTTAATTGGAATTTTAACTGCAAATTTAAAATGATATACTGTATTTTGGTTAGTGTTTGAAGGCCATAATATATTTGAGTCTGTATTTTCTACATTTATATTTATATTTTCAAGACAAAACCAATAATTTTATCCATAGATTTTTAAAATTGAAATTTCAGTGTTAAGAATCTTAAAAAAATTTTTTAAAAAAGGTGAGTTGCTAAAAGAAATGATTTTTAGTAGCCTGACTAAGTTATTAATTTCATTTGATGTTATTGTAAAGGTAATTAAATTCCCGAAAGGGTCAAGATATTTAATTTGATAAAGGAAGAGAAGTGAACCCAACTACCTATGTTTATAGAAAACTTTAAAAATTATAATTAAAGCAGCCTTAACTATTTGAAGACTATTTTAGCAAGACTGTTGCTTTACATGTCTTCCTTTGCCTCTTTTTTAATGATGTGACAATTATTTGCAGATCCTGTGGTGTTGTGGAAATTCCCTGAGGACTTTGGAGATCAGGTTTGGACAATATAATTTTAAAAAGACATTGAAATTAGAGTACCATGATTATTGTTACTATTACCACTACTGCTACTACACAAGTATAATTATTTTTTCTTGATCAACTGTTAGAAACAGCATATGTAAAGAATATATAGAAGAATCTTTTAAACTTACCCACTAGATAAGTGGAAAAGTTTTAATATTGAAAATAGTAGGTCTGGATGTTCACTGTTTAAACGTATTTGTACTCTTATTTATAGAAGATATATTTGGAAACACTTAAAAATTATCTCAAAAACTTGAAATTGTTTAATATTTGCTAGATATATTCATTATTTCTGTTTGGAAATAAGTATAACTGCCATGATTATTTTTTCCTTGTCACAATAATACCTGAATCATTTGCATTTAGAATTTAAATTGGCACTGTTTCCTCATTTTTAAATAACTTTTGCTTATTGCTTTATTTTCTTAAAAACATAAAACATGGGAGAATGCAGGATGAGTTGATTCCATTTATATTTTAAATTATATTTTCTATATAGTTCTTTTGATACTTAGTGAGAGCAAAATGACGAAATATTTATAAATGATGTATATAAATAATAAAATATTTAAAATTTTATGTTATAGGTTCATGCTTTGAAGTTGAATTATATTGAATGATTTTACATATGATTAAGTTTTGATGGGAATAAATATTTTTTACTGGATGCCTAATGAGTATACTCCTTTATTTTTCTTAATAGAAATGGGAGAAAGCAATCTTATCACTGTTAAAATTATAATACTATAAACTTATAATTTAAGATCACATATAATTCTCACAATTTATAAAAAAATTGACAAAAATATAATTTTAATTCATTCAGAAATAAGTATCCAGATATACGATTTGAATATACATGGAAGGATAATTTTCTAGGCCTGAAAGGCTATCTGAAAGACTTAAAAATTAGCAACTGACTTAAAAAGTTAATTAAGTGGCAATGTAAAGTATTAATTAGATCTAGTGCAACCTTTTGCCAGACCTTTTAATAAAATGTAATTAAGTTTTAAACTTTTAGAGAAATAATAGATTTCTAAATAAATATATAAAATAAGTTCCTACAGTGAAGGCAATTGGAAATAAGCTTAATTGGGTGTGTTCCCAAGCAGTATACAATGAATAGTCTTGCTGATTGATTTTATCCCTTTGAAATGTGCTTTTCGTGGTCTATTCATTTATTATTTTCCTACTTATTCAGGAATGTCTTTTGTTTCTCTTCAGTTCTGTTTTGTTGTTATTTTTGTTGCTATTTATTTCTGCCTCTTCGAATGGCCTTAAGAATTATTAGGAGGTCTGGAGACTCTAAACTTTGGGTTCAGTTTTAGTGAGATCTTCTATTGCTCTTCCCTTTTGTAACTTGCAAAAATTGTATTTGGATTTTTCAGTTGGGGCAGAACTTTCCTTTGTTTTGAGAACTTGTTAGGTCAACAGAATATCAGTAACTAGCCTTCAGATACTTAGTGAACTACAAAAGCAATTAACCATGTTGTCTCCCGAGTGTGAGGAACTGAAAGAGTAAATAAGGTCCACAATGCACAGTAGATATTGTGAAATGGGAAGAAATTGTTCAAAAGGAAAAAAGATAGGGGAATAGAGAAAGAAAGGAAAGGAAAAGGAAAACAAAAAACAAACTACAAAATAATTATACTACTAGTTTCTCTTAGTTAATTCAAAAGAAGGTTTTGTGCTAATATTAATTAGATGTTTATAAGCCTATGTCTTGTATGCTAATTAACTATTTTAAAGATAACACTCTGTGTATTAACTGTTATTCTCCTATTATTTTGTTATGAAATTTTGTTTTATTTTTTTCCATTAAAAAAGCAGTTAACAATGTAATGATAGTAAACGTTCATAACTCCTAGGATTCCAGTTCTCAGCAGTTCTCACAGACCTTTATTTTTAAAGAACTGAAAGGAACTCTTGTCTACTTACCTCAATTTATATAAACAGAAATAAAGCTTTGTAAGAGATTCTAACACAGAGCCTTGAAGAATGGTTTTACTACGTGCTTTTTGATGACTATATTGAATACTATAGAAGACACAAGTACTGTGCATGTATTTCTTACCTGTCTTACTTTTTATTAATTTATTCTATTAACTCTTCACTTTTTAACCAGCCTTTTCATTGTACCATCGACTGCCTCAGTAACAATAAGTTTTTTTTTTTTTTTTAACTCTTCAGCTCTTACTATATACTGGTCATCATACTAGGTGCTTTATGTGCATAATTCATTGTACTTTTAAATCCTCTCGTGGGTACTGGGAGATAGTATTATCCCTCAAATTGAGGCATACGTAGGTAATTAACTGAGGTCACACTGCTTATTCTCAGAGGCAAAGCTATGATTTGAAGGCACTGTTTCCTGAGTCAGAAGTGTGTGCACTTAACCATTAAGCTGTAATGTTCATTCTTATAAAGACCTCCGAAACTCTTCCTAATTATTTTAGTTCCCCCTTAATAAAGTTTACCTTAATAATTTTTTATCAGTATTGTTACAGCTATTAAGTAGTAATTTTATTCAACATAGTACAGTAATATCAATCCTTTACCCTTTGTTTCTACCACATGGATTTAACTGGTGTCACTTTGTTTCACATTTTTAATTGTGTTTTTCCTCTTTTGGTGTAATGGAGGAGCAATGGCACGTCACATTTCAGGAGCTGTGATTAAATTTTTTTTAATTCAATGAAAGGACACTTATGAGGGAGAAGTAGGAGACAAAACCATAAAATAAACGAATTTGATTTTAGTAACAGTTTATCTTGCCAGAAAGTTTGTTTCTTAAGTGAACTGTGGGAATGTATAATGTGACAAAATCACTGTTAGGAAGTTGAATGTGGGATAGACTAAAGCCTGGATTGGTGATAGTAGAAATTAAGGACAAGGGATACTAGTGAGGTAGCTACTGCCAAGTTCAGATGAGAAGTAAGAAGTGTGAAAGCAAGAGTTGGTTATATTAGAAATGTAAAAGAAGGTACACACGGAGCAGAAAAAAGAGAGGTTATATTTTGGAGGTGGGAGAGAGTGGAGAAGAGTAACTAAGAGAAGATAATTTAGTTTTATCACTTGAAAAATAATAATCTTTCATGTGAGTGATGAAAGGCTTTGTGGACTTAATAGAAATGAAGAGTATCTGTTTCTAAGGAAACACAAAGGCATGAATATTGAAATTTGAGGATTGCTATAGGGGGTAAAAATAACCTGTCATATTGTAGGCAAAGGCATTACTCAGGAAACTAAGGAAAGCAAGCTTATCAGAATTAAGTGGATTTTAACAAGTCCACTGGTGGGAGGGTGCATGTGAGGTAGTCCTGAAGCCTTATTCTTTGATCTTTGAGTTTTTTTCTTTGAGTTGGTGTTCTTTTTCAGGTGACAGTAGATGGTATCACCATAATTGAGGGTAACTGAGTGTGACCTAATATTGGAAGACAACAAAATAACAAATTACTTTCTGATTTGAAGTTGAGATGGAGTGACAACAGGAACTTTTAGGATGGTATTTTTTGCATTACTTTGAAGACTTAAATTAATTTTTTAGCAATATAGATTTGAGTTTGAATTTTAACACTGTCAGTTGTATGCATTTTGCCATCAGAAAAATACGCTGTATTAAAAATGATGTAATAGTTACTTCGCAAGATTCATCATGGGCTTTAAGGTCAGTGTGAAGCACAGGAGGAGGCATTTAGCAAGTGGAAGTTGAATTTTCTTCACACCCTGTGTCTGCCTTTTTCTGTTTTTTGTTTGTTTGTTTTGGGTAGCATTTCTGATTTTACTTCCCTTTTTCATTTTGTTTGGGTATTTCTCCTTAGTCTAAACATTGGTTTGAAAATAAGTTTTTGAAGGATTTTTCTGAAGCTCTGTGGTGCCCTATCTACACTTTCATAGCTTTTTAAGTGTACCTGTGTATCCTGTTGCTTCCTCTTCTCTCCTTTTCTCCCCTCTACTCCTCTCTCTTTCCTTCTTCTCCCTGCCCCAGCCCTTGCCTGCCCTTTCCTCCCCATTTCTCTCTCCCTTTATTGAATAACTCTGGGTTGTATATTTGTTTCTTGAAGGAATAGGGTCAGAATCTCCCCATTATTCAATTTCCACATGTAGCAGAGTGATGACACATGATAAGATCTGAATAAATGCTTTTTGAATGTTTAGTTGAGGGAACAGCAGAATAAAGGATGTTGAATAAACTCAGAATAGGTTATCCCAGTCACCTTGGAGAAATAGGAGACAAATAGTCTCCTGATAGAGGTGGTGTAAGAGTAATGTGCGCACATAAATTTACAACGTCGATCCAGTGCTATAAGACATACAATAGGGCTTCATTAAAGTATGTATGAAAGATGCAGTTTGTCATAGGGGTTAAGTGGCCTGAAGTTCAGTGGTTCCATGACAGACTCAAGATGTATATTTGACCTTAACAGTTGACCTGTGTGTTTTTCCCTTCCCACATTGCTATAAAGTTTAATAAATTTTAATATATATTGGAAAACTGGTGCGTGCACCAAGGCTACAAGATGAAAGTGAATTTAGAAAAACCTTTGAAAAAGTACACATGCCACATGATAATTTTAATCATATTAGAAATTTTGTTCATTAAGCAAATCTTCGTAAAAATTATCTGGAGACAGTTTTAATTCTAAGGCAATAGTAGTAAAAAGTACATATTTTACAATAATAGAGTGTTTAAACTTTTTATCTGTATCTTTCATTTTGCTTATTTATTTTGTGGTACTGGAGGTTGAACCTAGTACCTCATGTTTGCAAGCTGAGTGCTCTATCACTGAGCCATATGCCCTCCGCCCCATACCTTTTTAAAAAAAACTTTGAGGTAAATCTTGCTAAATTGCCCAGGACACCTTGAACTTGTGAACCTAGCTCAGCCTCCCAAATAGTTGTAATTATAAGTTACCATCACCTTTATAGGTCTTTCATTTCTAAAAATACCCTACTAGTTAGTTGATGT